CTGAACAAGCTTGTCAAAGGTGTCAGCAAATGCTTCAGCAGGGCTCAGTTTCTGTGGAGATAACTTGGCAGTTGCTACAGAATGTTACGTCTCGACTTTACAGTGACAGGCTATCCAGTTGTTCATCACCAACTGCCTGGAAGCTTCAGCTGCACTGCCAGAGAAAAATAAGGTTAGTTTGGAAATTCAGGAAAGAAACAAGTGATTAGAAAAATTACAAAACAAACAGGCTTCAAAAAGAGAGCTAGGGCAGGAGGCATATCTGGCAAAGGGTCAGTCACAATGAGAGCATGCAAACCTCATCTGAACTTTAACCACGATGTTCTTGTACTGGTGAAGATGGAAGCTACTGATCTGTCCATTTCCAGGTCCCAAAGATCAGGGAGTTAAACCATGAATTCACAATCTGCACACATCTCTTCTCCTTAGTTCTCTTCTTTTTTGGTTTCTTCCTTGGGTGCTTCAGGAACCAGGATGACCTTTCCAACATTCTTCTTCTCTTGCATCTGCCTCATGGCATCTGCCACCTGGAAGCAACAGGAATCGCGTGAGGCCCACACCCACCGCAGTGCAGTCATGCCCTTCCTGGGACCCCTGGTCCACCCAGATTAGTCTGAGGGCCACCCAGCAGGCAGCTTTGCCGGCAGTCCAAGCAAGTGCCAAGCATTCAGGTGCCTCTGCACAGATCCGTTTTGGGCAGAGTTGGGCAGCTACCCCAGCCTGCCCATAGGAAGCTGTCCTCAAGAATTCACAGAGACCAACTGTAACATACGCAAGGATGCTCTGCTACGCAAACCGTGGAAGAATGAAGTGTGCGTCACCACACAGCTTCCTTTCCAAACAGAGGGGAGCACTGCAGAAACCCAGCTAACAGCCAGAAGGACAATGCTTCTACCATCTGTGCAACCACAGAACATACATGCACAGACTTTTATTTTTTTTTTTTTTAAAAGCAAAACAGCACCTGGGCCAGGCCTGGAATTAACAGTTTTCTTTAAGCATTTGCATCAGACTAGTTCTCAGGTACTAACACCAACTAATCATTACCAAATCCTTTTCTCCCCTGCAATAAGTCCTACCCCAGCAAAGGATTTCCAAGGGAAGAACCTGACTCTGCCTGGACATCGATGCAACAACACTGAGCATAGCAGAGCTGCTGAAAAACCTGCCGCTCCATTCCAACGTCCTCATTCTGTTTCACTGCCTGGGCTCTTTTTCACTTGTGGAAGGGCAGCAGCAACCTTCCCAGCTGTCTGCTTAATTACAGGGTGCAGACTCAGGGCAGTCTCCAGTCTGATGCATAACCCAGCCCCTCCATAGGCTGCTACTGCACACGGAGCCCGGCTGTGCACCTGCCCTATTCCACAGGGACACTGTCTCTCATTGCCCAGCTCTGTGCACTGAAGCAGAAGAGCCCAGCCACTTTACTCCCCCTTAATATCTTAAAAGGAAAAAGGCACTGAACGTCTGAGAACAGATGCTTATTAAACATTTGCAACAGCTCAGCCCCCACGAACAAGGTGCTCACACTGATCCAGAGCTCACTGTGCAGAAAACAATTGCCCAGTAATTTCTGGGTGCTGCCAGCCTCTACGTTAGCTCAGACTCACCTGATCAAAGGGCCATACAGAGTCTATTTTGGGCTTGATTTTGCCTTGACTGTACAGGTTAACCAGCTTGGCTACAACACCTCCGATAAGCTCAAATTCTTCATCCATATATCCAAGGTGGTAGCCACACACAGCCTTGTTATGGTGCAGAAGCTGCAAGGCATTGATGCTGAACTGGTTCCACCAGGTTTTAGCCATAGCCATGAGGTTCTTCTTCTGCCCAGTGAGCAAGTTTGCTAGCCCTAAAAGAGAAGGCAAGCCACTGATGAGCTGGAATCAACACAACATGAGAGGCAGTGGGCATCCCATGTAACAGCTCAGACAATACGCAGGGTAACAGCCGTTCACACAGTGATGGAGGACAGAGGTGAGAACTGGATCCCATCAGGATCTACCCAGTCGACCTTCAATGGAAACAGGTACCTGCCTCAGCCTCAACATACGCAGAATTTCGATTACGGGCACCCACATATTGCAAAAATGTAGAACAACTGCTCTCTTAGGAGGGCAGCAGCAGCGCAGCTAGACTGGAGTGCTGGCAGAGGCAAGAGAGGGTTACAAGTCACATCCAGTCACAGGCTGGCAGGACAGCACTCCCCTTCTTCTACAGCCAGGCTTCTTCAGGGGAGCCACACGCTGCAATGGCTGGGACAACAGAAGCAGCACACTGGTGCAAGTGTCTGGAATCCCACTGGGGGCTGTGCGAGGGCTTTTTCTATGGGACAAAATCACAGTGTTTCAGGGCTGGGGAATGGAGGGATAAGTATTCAGTAGCCTCAAACCTCATCACCCACACATCCTCCAAAAGAAAAGCAAGTCTCTATTAGTGCTGTGCATTAAGTCAGCCTGTACAAAGCAGCTGTGCCAGCATTCCTCCATGAGGACATTCCAGCTTCCCCTGCAGGCACCAGCTCGTACTCGAAGAGAGATCTCGCCATGGGAGAAAAAGCCATCGAGCCTGTGACCAGAGCTCTCGGGACAAGGCACAAATCTCACTCCCCTCAGTGCCTCACCCAGGCAAAGCATCCTAAAGACCTTCGTGAAGTAACAGAACTACAACACACACAGCAGTCAGCAACAGTTATATTCGCTCATGGCTGTGCGTCCACGCATGGAGCAGCGCGGAGCATTCGTGTGCAGATCTGCACCCACACTGCCATCATACAGTCCCTCCTATGCAGGAGCTGGGGTTTGGGCACACAGCTCACACTTACCATAAGTGATGAGTTTGCCCATCGGCTTCAACAGGTTAAATGCTTTGGACGTATCGGATCCTCCCAGGGGGTCCAGGACAATGTCAACACCTGGAGGAAATTTAAAGTAACTAGAAGTTTCTTTGCACTTGAAAGAAATGCAGGACAATTGTAAAAGTCCTCCACCGTACGGTACCTTTGGGAGAGATTTTCCGGACCTCCTCTGCGTAATCCATCGTTCTGTAGTCAATAGGGTAGGCGACTCCACTCTCCTTGAGTGAATCATGCTTGGAGGCAGATGCTGTGCCAAAAATGGTGACATTTTCTACAGTCTTGCACAGCTGGATGGCAGCAGTTCCCACACCACCTGAAAACCAGCAGTGAGAAAGACTTAGAACCAAACAGCCCCAGCAGTCAGAAAAGCCTCTGGATAGGTAAATTATCCCTGCTTGTACGGATCGCACAGCGCTGGGAGGGTAAGGAATAAAGGCTTTGCCTGGGGCCAGCTGACGCCTGTGACACACGCTGGGGGAGACCGACTCCGGCTGCTGGGAAATGGGTTCAGCATTTGCCAGCGCCTGGGTCAGCGTGAAGCCTGCACCTCTGGCAGACGGCATTTTGTCACTCCAGCCCTGTTCTGATTGCTTTCTCACCCGTGCCACCCATTCAGAAGCTGCATGTCGAGGCCAAGAGTCTCAGCATGGGCTGGCAAGAACTATTTACCTGCAGCCATGTGGATGAGGACACTCTGGTTGGGTCTCAGGTTTCCAAAGTCAAACAGGATCATGTAGGCAGTGATGTAGTTGACAAGAAGAGCAGCTGCTTCCTCAAAGCTCATCCCCTCAGGCATCAGGAAAGTCTGACTGGCTGGCACGTTCACAACTTCTTGCCAGAGCCCAGACCTAGCCAGGACCATTACCTTATCGCCAACCTAAAATCAAACAGAGGACAAGGCGGTCTGAAACAAGTCCCAGGCTAGCAGAAGTCATCACACCCTTGCCCTCTGTACGGCAGAGCCAGGTACACGTGTGCCGTTCTCTGTGCAGAGGTCTGCAGGGACTGCAGCACCTCTGGGCTTGGGTGGGAGCCCGCAGCCCGTGCTCCGCTCGTCGGGCAAACCGCACCACAGCGCAGCACCTCTCGCCACGGACCTGGGCACACACCAGGAGCCTCAGAGGGACCGTAGGCACCCCAGGCTCTGGCTTGCACCTAACATGCTGCCTGACTGCCAGCTGCCCAAACCAACAGACCCCCAACGGGGTAAGAGGGATGGGGGTCGTGTCCTGCCCTCCCTGCCCAAGCTGGGAGCAGGAGTCTGAACACCATCAAATATTACTGCTGCCCCTTGCAAGGATCATTCTGCCACCAGACAGGAGGCTTGGGGCAATGCTTAGCAGGATCAACCCTGGAAAAAGCATGTCCAACCTTAGGAAAACCTCCCAGGTCCAAGCGTCAAGCATCCCCCAAAATCTGCTCTTATCCCACTGGGCAAGAAACTTCTGCTCTCTGTGCATCGGGAAGGAGACGGCAAAACACCAAGCAGTCGTATCAGCAAGCAGACAAGAGGCAGAGCCAAGGCAGCGAGCAGAAAGGCTCCTCGGTGCGTGGGTCTGGCATTTTCACTTGAATAAACCAAGACATTTTCCTGGAGGGGAGGGAATAATCTTTGACACACTGGGGTTTTTTGAGACACTTTGTTTTGCTAGTTGTGCATCCAAGAATCATCTTAAAGCACCATAATTCCAACAGCCCTAAGACCCAAAGGTCTGGTAAAGGGTCGGGGACACGCAGAGCCACCTCCTCTGCCGGCCGAGTTGCTAGAAAGGCACCAGCCGCAGGGTTGCGGGCACAAACCCAGCATCAAGAGCAACTAACCTGCTCGTGCCCACACCTCACCACCCTCAGATGGCTTTGGACAGCTCTGCAGCAGCTGGAGCTGTTTCCTTCCACGTTCGTGTAGTTGAAGAGGTCAGTCACAAATGCGCTCACAAACAGCATGGTCATGCTCTAGCCCAGCATCCTACTAGCACTCACCACTAACAAGGAAATTCGTGGCATGCAAATACACCAGCTGGTCCCCAAGGAGCACGACC